ATTCCCCAGCCAGCCATGAAGTCCACTCATCTTAAAGTGGCCAAGTTTGGACAACCCTGACGTAGATAGATTAAATCGCAAAAACAAGAGCAACCGTTCGTGAGTGGCCAAAGACAGACAGATACCCCAGAAAAGTTGAACAGGGACTCCGCCATCCATCTCTCCCAAGGTCTGGGATACAAGTGGTATAAACGCAGTCAAGCAAGACAGTGTTGACAAGGTGCTTTGGAGCAGACGGGAGCGTGCACATTGCACCGGCATGCATGCCCGCGTGTGCTCCGTAGCGCCTTGTCAGCTCTGGATTCAAAGCTCGGTATGTCCAGATCCCAGGTCTGGTAATAAACAAGGAGCACTATCATCAAACAGATCAAGCCAGAGTTCTCCCTCGAGGCACCAATGCCCAGGCTCAAATTATCCTACTCAGGCACATGATGCGAAGACCCAGCTCTCTGGAGGAGGCTCTGGTGCTGGGAAAGGAGGAAGGGAAGAGGAGAAGAGGACGACCAGCAGCCAGGGGGAAGGACTCAGCCACAGGGGTGATGAGGGCACCCTTGGGAGACCTGAAGGACCAGGTTAGGGGAGATCCTCCTGGAGGAAGTCTCTCTACGTGGTTGCTAAGAGTCGACAGTGACTTGATGGCATGTAATCAATCAATCAATCAATTCACAAACCACCTCCCTTCGAGAAGTCCATAATGTTGGGAAAGGTGGAAGGGAAGAGGAGAAGAGGACAAACAGCAGAAGGTGGGTGGATTCAGTTCTGGGGGTGACAGGGCACCCTTGGAAGACCTGAAGGACCAGCGTGGGGACAGGTTGTCCTATCTATTTGGTTGCTTGCAAAAAATTGGCACCAACTTGATGGCAGATAATCCATCAATCAATCAGTCAAACCGACAGAGGCACTAAAAAGAGAAGATTCTCCCGGTCTGAACAGGAGGGCAAACAGGAAGGCTAATAATGGCCATGCCCGTCTAGCCTCCAGAGCAAGGGCATTTTTTTATATATGCTTTCTGTTTTTTCCTTTTTTTCCCTACCTTCTTTTCTCCCTGTTTTCTTTTCTTTCTTTTTTCACACTTACTTTGCCATGTGTCTTTCTCTGAACGTATTTCTCAGATACATTTTTAAGAATAGTTTTATTAAGAGATTTGAGACAGATAATACATCTCTCCGTTAAAAATGATTTAAAAAAAAAGGGGGTTCGCAGGACCCGTCTCTTTCTCACCGAGCCACGCTCCGGATGATCCAGGGGGCATTCCCCAAAGAGGGCACCGACTCATCCATCAGGGGATGCGTCTTGACAAAGCTGAGGATCTCGTCGGGAAAAAGGCTGGAGGAATTGTGCTGCATCCCGGGGGCCGCACAGCAACCTGGTCTGGGAACCAAAGAGGAGACCGTGAATTGCAGCAGGCGTCCGGCGTCCTGGGAGGTCGCTTGCGTGGCCCGTCTCTCGCCCTTGCCGTCACCCGCCCCCCTTGTGCTGGGTGAAGTTTTCAGAGGGGAGGGCCACGAAGCGACTGCGTGGACTGCATTAGCGCCCATCAGCAAAACGACCGCGCCAAGATGGAAGAATGCAGAAGTGCCCCCAACGGAGGCATGGGTCGCGAAGATGGCAGAAGTTGCAGAAATGGCCAAGTTGACTTGTTGGATCGGGGCGGGGACCCCAATGGCTTTTCCGAAAGGCTGGAAAGCCTTGATGGACATTTTGCTGAAAACGGATAGATTAAAATGAACTGGCGACTTCGGGATTTCCCGATGGATAAGGGTGGAAAAGGGGGGAGGGAACTACGTGATGTCCTTTAGAAGGGGGGGGGAAACAGTTTCCAGCATGTCTGTAACTTGGTAAAGAAGGTCGGAAGTTGCTTCTTTAAGTCCTTTTTCGTTTTCTTTTTCTTTCTCTTCGCTTTTTATTGCTTTCAACACGTGTTGCTTCAGCTTTCTTCCATCCTCACTTTTTTCAATATTTTATATTTATTTATTTATATTTCAAATGTGAGCACCCCCCATCTCCCTAGAAGCAACTCTGGACGATTTACAGTCAAAAAATAAATACGAATTAAAATGCGATAAAACCATAGTCCTACAAATAATAAGGAATAAATATCTCCCAAGATTGATGGTGAAATTATTAGATTCAGGGAGTGTCCTCACGGCGCCAGCCACCCCCAGGGTTGGCTGCCCCTCTTCTCGCCCCACACGAGTCGGCAGAGCCAGGTCTTCACCCCTTCTGGAAGGTCGAGGGAGGAGGGGCCTGCCGCATCTCTGGGGGGAGAATATTCCATAGGGCGGGGGCCACGGCAGAGAAGGGTCTCCTCCTGGGCCCACCAGCTGACATTCTCTCACCGATGGGGTCCACAACATGCTCTCCCTGCCTGACCAGGTGGGACGGGTTGATGTGATGGGGGTGAGAATATTGTTTCGTGTTTATCTTTTAACTTGGGGGGGGGCTCTCATTTGCTGGAGATGTTTGAACAAAAGCCGGGTGACCTTATACCAGTGGATCCTGGAGGGGATGCTGTGGTGATGGACTCCTGTCCTGAGCAACGGGTTGGGCTAGAAGGTCTCCGAGGATCCTTCCAGCCTTGTGCCTCCAGGATCCTATGATCGGGGTCCACAGTAGAGCAGGAACCTGTAGGACGTCTGAGGTTCAATACCCACCATCTTCTGGTAGGTGTGTGACTAGACCTCCCCTATAAATCCTGGAGGTATTAACTCCACAAAGTAGTTAACACTGAGTTGGATGGACCTCCTCAGAGGAGCACCACACCTTGTGCTGTTTCTTTGTTGAAGCCCCCCAAGTTCTACCCTTAAGGCAGATGTGGACAACCATGGCTCCCCACATGTGGATGAAGTACAACCCCCGGCATTCCACGACCGTGGCCATATTGCTGGGAGTTGTAGTTCAGCTACACCTGCAGGCCAACAGCTGTCCAGATGCACCTGAAGGAGCTTGCGTGACTGGGACTGGGGTGGGCAGCTGTTGTCAGCCTTCCCAGGTAGACCAGACCGGAAAGATGACCAGATGAACTAATTCTACTTTATTGTAAGGCTGCATTAACAGAATCTTGCAAGTCTGGAAGTACAATTCTCCCACTCTCACCTTTACAGCCCAATAACTTAGGGAGGGTCTCTCCTGAGCCCCTTGCTCCACCCGCCATGCAGCTGTGGGCTAAGCTCCCTCTTATCTGACTGTTTGTGATGGAATGGAATTATGAAGACCAGGCTCAGGGAGATAAACATGTTCTTAGCTCCCCAGAAGAGCGTGGGAGGAACAAGAGGAT